GATTCCGTGCTATTGTATACCGGGCGCTTTCATCTTTCGAAATATATTCCGTGCTGCTTTCGTTTATCTCGTCTGCGTAGATTCAGGGCTGAAAGAAGCAACGCTTCGGGAACAACGAGGGTGCTTTACCGCTCGCGTCCACGCGAACTAAAGGTGACACCTGAGAATGGAGATTAAAGGCCGCGAAACACTGACCCCGCGGTAATTGGGTTTCGGGATCCCGTGCGAAGAAATCCTCGCGAAACGAAACCGGCGAGAAAAAAATGCGTCCTGTCGACGAAAGGTAAACAAAACGATCCGCTCGAGAGGGTGAAATTCAACGGCACACACGACGAGAGTGCGTTTCGATTCGTATTTCTGTTTGGGCGCAAAAACACGATGTTTCTCTTTCGCCCCGGTTGCTGTGTTCGAAGTTACTTTTCCCTATACGGAAACATTTCACCGAGATTTTAAAGTCATTTATCCAGACAGTTCGGTATAATTCTATATAGTATTCGTTTTTATCGTATTTATGTGCCACTGTACGAGGAGAACCATCGAACGAACGGGTCAGCGACTCGATGCTTGTTTCGAGAGAGAAAGGTTAACACGTTGGTCAAAGTGTCCCCGATTACTGGACAAGGCAAACCTTGTCGTACTCGGTTCTTTAAATCCAAAGTCGGTTTTTCGAGGAAAGTTTGTTCAGCTCGTGTTTCGTGTTCATCTTTAACGGCTACGAGGTCGTTTCGCGTTCGTTACGATTCTCGTTTTCGGTGTAATTGGATCGTTTGAACCGTCGAGGTACGGGAAGTTGGTCGACGAGGTTCTTCGCGTTTCTTGTATAGGCGGTACGAGAGATACTCGAAGAGAAAATAAACGAGTAAATAAAGGCACAACGCACTTACCCGACTACGCGTAATCCTCTGTTACCGTTCTCTCTTTCCTCCGGGGCATTTATATGCATTATCTTCCCGGCGGAGTTCTCGCAGCGAGAACGTTTGATACACTGGTTGCCACCCCCATCGCGAACCAGCTACCGATTCTCACGACAGCATCCACAAAAGAATACACCACACACTCTTCTCTCCGCGAGAATAGTCGTTGGCTCGCTGGCTAGTTGGCTCTTTTTCTCCCCTTGTTTGTTAATTAACCAACCGAGGGTGAGGGTTGGATGGCCGAGGAGATAGCAAGCAGCAGCGCGTTCCTCTTCGTCCAGTTTGCGTTCGCGTCGAGGGAAACTGCGCGGGGAGGGCGGGGGAGGCGACGACGAGTGGGGAAGAGATCGAGAGACACGGCGAGCCGAAGATCGAGAGGAACCAAAGCGGATCCAAAGGACGAGCGTAAAAGGGAAGGGAAGGCGCGCTAGAGGTCGAAAGAGCAAAAGACGGAGCGGTCAGTGACGGCGGTCGATAGAGATAGGTGGTGGTGAAGTGAGTTGTTCGCGTCGTCCGATATGGCACGTTCACGGTTGCGATCGCGATAAACGCTCGATGATCGAGCCGAGGAAAAAACGATACGACGCGCGATGGACGGCAGCGAATCGCCTGGCTGCCGACGAACCGAACGATTCGCGGTCGAGGGTCGAACGGTCCGCGAGCGAACAGTCGCGTTCGCCGGATGCAGCGCGAATGGAGGGTTGGTCCTGCGCGGCAGCGCTCTCACGCGGCCGTCCGGCAAACTGACAACCCACCCCTGCTATACACCGCTGCTAGCCTACCCACCCCCAACGGACGCCCTTTCGCGTTTGCGCGTATCCGCGTTTGCACGTTTGCGCGTATAACCGTTGCCCCGAGTCTCGCTCTTTCGCCCCGGTGCCGACGACGCGACGTGCTCTACTTCTCATACCGACTACCCACGGGCATTCGATATTCTCTCTGGCACGAGTTTTCGACCAACTCGCGCCACCGATCCTATGGAATCTATCGCGAATTGTCAAAACTAACCCTCCACCGCGGCCCAATTCGTGGCCCGCTCGAACAACCACCTCCGTTGCCCGATTCCGGTACTCGATCATAATCGACGATGCCTCGATTACCTGCGTCATCCCTTCGACTACATTCTATAAATTAGCTGCATTGTTCGAGGTATCTCCCTATCCAGTTTCCGCGTCCACGATATATTTCTTCACCCTCGTCGCGTACACGTACGTTTGCCTCTCGATCGAACGAAATTTCCTCGACGAAGGATCGGGGAAATAACAAGTACATACTTTGCCAAACGACTACGTTCTTCTCCCGTTTATCTTCCGTTCTATGTCAAGTCTTCCAACAAGATTCGACTTGGGACTCTTGGACGCGCGTTCGAACTCGGAACGACCCTAATCGTCCCGGGCTACGATTCGTCTCTCGCGACCCCTCTTTCCCACGACCCGTAAAAACGTCCCATCGACCGTATCTACCATGACCCTGCGAGACTCTGCTCTCCGCTACAAACGCTTTCCACTTTACGTTCCCTTTCGTGAAACAATTTTGCCTTTGGTCAAATACTTCGAACAATCGGTCGAGTAAAAGTCCGACAATTTTATCGTTTTTAATATAGAAAATTCGTTTTTTATTTAACCAAAATACTTAGATCGCGACGAGACTTTAATTCATAGATCGAACGTTGAATTACTGTCATCGAAGGGAATATTAAAAATTCAATTCTTACGGGCATACGTAACGTATCGTTTTTATCGCGTTTAAACCAATGTACGATATAGCCATCTAGCGGTCGAGCGCACGAATCGACCTTGCTTCCAAAGATATATACCAGTACCATAGGTCAGACGTAGGATAGACTGGACGCTCGATGGAAATTTCTGTCTTACGAGCAAAACTACCGACTCGGAATTAATTAAGAATTTAATTTAAATTTATCGAAATCTCGATCGATACACAGTGTGTCGGACTTTACGTAAGAAACAAACACTTTCTTCGATAGTTGTCACGAATAGAAAGGCTTTTAAAACCGACAGGATGAACAAAATATCTTTTTTCGCTGGATATTAATTCCAGATAACTCGTTAGTGTCCTATCGCGACTTATAAACATAAGAATTGCATTGCACAGAGGGCGATCAATAATCATCAATCGCGATCAGTACTCGCGAGTACAAACTATCCAGATAGCAAACGCGATTAATATTCTGAATTCGCAACATTAATTTAAACCGCGATCAATTTTCATTAGCAACGCTAATTCGAACCTGATTAGCTCTCGTTTACAACGGTAATTCGATTCGTGATTTTCCCAACGCTGTTGGGTCAACGGGTCAACATACATAGTACGCGCGCAATGTACATGCGTCGACCAAAAAACAATTTATCAGCTATACCAGAGCCGAGTACAGCGATAATGTAATAAAAGGAACGATACCCAGTTTGAAAATGGAGAGCCACCTGTCGCGATCTTCTCTCGAGACACTTTATCCGAGTCTTTGTTTTATTTGGCCGAAATGCCAAGAGATTTTCTGCGTTTGTTAACTTTACCGATTTCCGTAGATCAACTGGCTATAGTTCCCAAGATCACCGTTTTTTCAACGAAGAGGTCGCTCGAAAACCACTGGTTTTTTACCAGGTCGGTATTTCAGTTTCCGTGACACCAATTTCCACAAGGTACATAGTCTAACGACTACCTCGTCTATGGTACAGAATACGGAGTAATGATTTTCATGATACACGGGTACGGGGGATTATGTAGCCTCCGATCGTGTCGCGTGCGACGTTACCGAACCAGAAAAGAATAAGATCACAGCGTTCGCAAAGTGGCGAGAATTCTAATTCAATTTAATCATCGTCAATTATTTCAAATTCAATTGCATCGATCGGGATCGATGCACAGAATGTAAATGGCGATTGTAATGTTAGGGAGAAACGATATTATCTATCTTACAACTTCTTTTATAACAGATTGCTTAACGAGAGTCTACAATTGTGGCCGAAAACGTTAAATGGACGATAATTGGAATGGTTAAACCTTGCTTGTTCGCATCTGTAAACATACAATTAACATTTGCCGAACGAACTGTGATCGGTGACATCATATTCGAGCAGGCGCCCTACTTTTACACCGGGTGCTTAATATCACGACCTTGAGATCTCCGCTCTTTTTCGTGCGGTCCGTATTTTCCTCGGTTTGCAGCTCGAGGTGGACCAGTGTCCAAAGTGGAATCAAGATCGACGCTCGATCGATCGGCACGCGCGGAACCGCCCGCAAGGAGAAGATTCCTCCGACGAACCGAGTCAGAGTTAGAGCAAAATTTTCTCGCAGAATTCTCTTCGCTGGCACAGATTTTGTCTTCGTAATGGCTAACCTGTTCTGTTGGTACACGGAGGTTCTAACGAGTTCCACTTAACACCGAAATCGACGAACGCGGGACGTGTTGCGTCACGGCTTAGAAGAAGAGCAACGATTCCCGTATAATCGTTCAACAAAATGTGTTTTTGATCGTTAATTTTTACGAGGACTGAGAACAAGAAGAGACGTAAAAAGGTAATTTGCAAACGATTGAAAGAAAAAATATGAAGTATCGAAAGGATGTCGCACAGGAAGAAGAAGCGGTCGTCTCTTTTACAACAGTTCACCGTCGCCCTAACGGTGTGCCGAACCTATCCTATCAAAATTATCGACGACATTGACATTGGTACGTGATTTCGGATGACCAATTTATCGTCCGTCTAACGAGAGATATCGTAAAGGGATCGTAAATGTATGCCGAGTGCCATCGTAGCGATCGTTTTACGAAGCGCTCGTGCGCGATCAAGATTCGTCCTGTACACCCGGCACGTTTTTGTTCGACTTGCGTCACGAGAACCTGACGCGGTGACCTTATAAACGCTATCAAGAATTCCAGGCGTCTCTCCTGCCAGACACCGATCGCGTCGAGCGGCTTCGTTTAGAAGGAATCTCGCGTCATAACGATCGCGACGGTCGACGGCGATTAGAGTCCAGGGGGATTCCTGCCAAGCTCCGGCGAAGCTTGAATCGACTATGCAGTGTCAGCCTCCTCGCGACTCATCGAGCGAACAAACATTTTCGGTACGATCGAAATAGAAAAATAATCGTTAAATTGTCGATGAAAAAGTTTGAAAATGTTAAAATTGTTAACGGTGTTTTTGCTGTTGTCCTGCGTGAAATGCATTATTTCGCCGAGCATTTTGGAGAACGTATATCAGTTTTTCTCTGGATTTCCGACGAAGACGTTCAACTATTTTATCCCGGACGATACGTTCGTGTTCAGCGAGGATTACGATTTCATCGTGATCGGGGCAGGTTCCGCCGGATCTGTGTTAACGAATCGTCTCACCGAGATCTCGAATTTTAGCGTGTTGTTGCTGGAAGAGGGAAAGGACGAGATGTTTCTGACAGACATTCCGCTATTGGCCCCTGTTTTGCACATTACGGACTACGTTCGGCTGCATAAGAGCGAACCGAGGCCTCGCGGGCCGGATGGGTCCGGCGGTTATTGTTTGTCGATGAACGAGGGTCGTTGCAACCTGCCGGGAGGCAGAGCGGTCGGAGGCAGCTCGGTGGTAAATTTTATGATATATTCGAGAGGATCGCCGGCCGATTACGACCGTTGGGCTGTGCAGGGCAATCCCGGATGGAGTTATCGCGACGTTTTGCCGTACTTTATCAAGTCGGAAAATTGCAAGTTGTCGAATCAGGACGTTAGGTACCGTTTCACGTTCACCTACGCTTCTTTGCGCTCATCGAATCGTTCTAATAAGTAAATCTGTCGCGTGTACGTTAGACGATAGATCGCCACTGTCCTGACACTAGTTTTCCCATCAGATTCCATGGTCGCGGAGGCTACCTCGACGTCACCACTTCACCGTACGTTTCCCCGCTGAGAGAATGTTTTCTACAAGCTGGCAATGAGCTGGGCTATGACGTAATCGATTATAACACCGACAGGCTGATTGGATTCTCAACGGCACAGGTTCATCTGCGTAACGGTCACAGGGTCAGTGCCAGCAAGGCGTTTCTGCGGCCCATTCGCGGCAGACCGAACTTTCATCTATCGAAATTCTCGAAGGCGACCAGAATCGTGATCGATCCGAACACGAAAACCGCCGTGGGCGTAGAGTTCGTTAAGAATGGAAAGAAATTGTACGCCTCCGCCAGGAAAGAGATAATAATTTCAGCAGGTGATCAAGAATAATTGCAAGGACCTTTAACGCGGTCGAGTCGAAAGGCAGTCGTGGAATCCGTCTTATTCGCGGTTGCGTTTTCTCAGGTACTCTAAACTCGCCGCAATTACTGATGCTGTCCGGTGTCGGGCCCAAGGACCACCTGACGTCCTTGAACGTCCGCGTGATCGAGGACCTGCCGGTCGGATACAATCTTCAAGATCACGTTAGCATGTCGGCGTTGACTTTTCTCGTGAACGAGAGCGTGACGATCGTCGAGCCTCGTCTAGTCTCAAATTTGGTAAACACTTTGGATTACTTTGTGAAAGGAACCGGTCCGCTGACCGTGCCCGGCGGAGCCGAATGTCTAGCATTCGTCGACACCAAACAAGACGAACGAAAGGGAAAGCCTCGAGTCAAAAAGAGCCGCTTTCGCGACCAAGACAACGAAGGTAATGCGACAAAATTCTGTCCGTATCGACGACGAATCGCGTGAAACAAACCAACTTGCTCTTTTCTCCTTTTCCAGTCTCTTTTTCGCCAAACGTGTCTTCCATCGGTGTCGATTTCGAATCGTTTAAAAGAAAGAAAATAAAACATGCGACCGTTCCCGACATCGAATTAGTTTTAGGCATAAGCGCGTTGACCGGAGACATATCCGGCAGCTACAGGGGACTCCTCGGTTTGACGGACGAGTTTTACAAAGAGGTTTTCACCGGCTACGAAGGTTTCGACGCCTTCTCGATCGTTCCGGTACTCTTACAGCCAAAAAGCAGAGGCCGAGTTACCTTGAGAAGCTCGGATCCACACGATCGACCAATTTTCCAGATAAATTACTACGATCGCAACGACGATCTGAAAACTATGGTTCGAGGCATTAAAAAGGTAGCGTCTGTTTTCGTTCGGTGCATTTATTTGCTCGAAAGTTCACCGTGTAATTCTTCTGCCGGTCGCGCGAGCGAATCTATTAACATGTAACTTTTCATCGTGTATCCGTAGGCTATACAAGTTGCATCTACCAAGGCGTTCAAGCGTTTCAACGCTACGTTATTGCCGGTCGCGTTTCCAGGGTGCAAGAGTATTCCGTTCGATACCGATCCGTACTGGGCGTGCGTCGCGCGTCACGTGAGCACGACCTTGGGTCATTTCGCTGGAACGTGCAAGATGGCTACCAGGAAAAACTCGGGCGTGGTGGATCACAGGTTAAGGGTCCACGGGATCAACGGACTGAGAGTCGTGGATGCTAGCGTAATCCCGAGCCTGATCGCTGGCCATACGAATGCCCCGACTTACATGATAGCCGAAAAGGCCGCGGATATGATCAAAGAGGATTGGAAACTCTTCGCTACCGCCCGTTAACGGCTCTTCTTTTAATAATTGCAAGAAAAATAATGATCGGAAACGCGATCCATCTATTTTTCTAAACGAACAATCGATACAATTCGGAGAACCGATCGTTTTCGCACCGATCGTATATGTCGTCGTCTATTATCGTTCAACGAAAGCAGCATTATTATTATTATTATAATATTATTCTGCGTTTAAACGAGTCGGTGGCAACACGGATGGACCACCGTAATTTAAACTATTAAATAAGGTCCGCTAAAGTAGCATTGCGAGTCGTAAATAAATATGCGTTAATCGGTCGTTAATCTAGCGAAAAAATGAAATCTTTGGTAGCGATACGTCTGGTATTGACTACTCCGATGCAACGTATTTACAATCGATCGAAATTAGTATCGTTCATTACAACTACGAAGCGTGTTGCGGTTGAATAAAAATTTTTTAAACGAGTTCCAGTCGTGGTAAGTACTGTGTTGAGAATATCGAGAGTCTCGCAAGAATCGCGAGAGACAAAACTCGATAAATATGTTTCCAACGTGTTGCTACCGGGGCGGTACCTGAAAGTAAACATAGCGATTTTTAGCAATTTCAAGAATACGCGTTATCGAAACGCGGAAAACGGGGAATAAGTAACGAAGCGATTACCGCTGTCGCTATATCGAATGCAATCTCGCAACTCCTCCGTCATGGTGTAATCGTTGGCGCAGACGCAGACGCCTGCAACAAAAAATGAGACAAATTTCTTGGATCGCTTTGAATTTCTTTTCGTTTCGTACAATTTGATCGATAACGTACCGTTCACGCAATCGAGATTCGTCACCTCGGTAAAATACGAGTCCCTGTGCGTCTCCGTGATGCACTCTCTGTGGTTCTCGCATCGATCGTTCAACGCTGAAAGATAACACGAATGCCGTTTCGATGCGTAATCGTATCGGGCGGGGATTTCAACCGATACTCACCGACATCTTTCAAACACGCGTAACCGCTCCGATGAAAATTCTCGATGCAGCTGCATTCGCCATTAGGGCCGCACTTGGTGTCTTTCAGGAATAGCCTGCATTGAGAGTCCTCTTGACATGGTTCTCCGACGGAATTGGCAGCTTTCAGGCACTGCTTACCGTCGTTCGACAGCACGTAATCCACTCTGCACGAGCAGACCTCGATGCAACTCGAATTCTCCGCGACGCACTCGTAATCGTTGAAACACTTGTCGCCCAGCTCTGCCGATTCGAAACGTTTGACGAAAGAGCGCGTGAAAATTGCACGCAATAATTTAAATAAATAAGAAGCGATCGTTTACCGGCGCTCGGTATGCATCCGTCGTTACGGGGATTCGGATGATATTTCAACGTGCATCGGCAAAATCCCGTCACGCAGTAGCTGTCTTTGACGTAACAGTTTCGATTCGACTGGCAAACCTGCCCCAAACCTACAAACGGTGGCGCATTAATAGCGCCGCTTGTATCGAAAATCGTCGCATAGGAAACGCGAGTGTACGCTCACCTACAGACTCGTAACACCTTCCTTCCATGTAGTGAGAGCCCTCCGAGCACTGACAGATATTCTGTCGACACTCCGAGTACGGAGCAAAGGTTACGCGACACTGGATGTCCGCCACGCAAGGATCCCCGATAGCGGTTGCCACTGGAAAAGTAAAACCACTAAATATTACGTTACTCGGACATTTCTCCAACGTTTCCGCGATTCCAACTCGAGCGATTCTGCGTGGGAAGTTGAAGGAAATATGATTAAGGTTTTTTGTTGGATCGGCAAGCACGACGAACGACACGCTTCAGGAAACGGGAGACCGTGAGAAAGGGACGGATAGGAATACGGACGAAGGAAGATCTCCGTGGTAATCGCGTTTACGGAGGTCGCCGACACCGATCCTAAGTCTACGAACACAACGATTAATCCGGAAATTAAGTATCTGGCGCACGAGCAGGCCAGCCTCCATTCGTTCGTTCGAACAAAGAGGCGTATCTCTCGAGGGTCACCGGACTTGGCTTATGCCCCGATAACATCTATGTAGGTGTATGCGTGTAAAAAACGTTTCAATTAGAACCTTATCGAGCGCGTTCGAGGCCTAGATATTTCTAGATATTATCGACACACATCATCATTTTGTACAAAGCATATTTCTATTTTCTACAATGTACTCTCTCCGATAAGATTCTATATATACCGAAGAGCACCATAAACTAACGCAACAATTTCCGCTCGAGATACATATATGTATACTCTTCTCCCCTACCACGAGTCTTTCTACAGTCAAGATCGTTTACCGGAACAAATATTAACCGTAAGTCGAAACGTACATTTTTTATACTCGATGTACAAAGAACCTCGATGACTATCTCTTTCTTATCTAGATTATCACCAAGGATACGTTTGCGTAATTATTCATATTTGAAAAGTCTACCTTTTAAACACTCCACGTGCGTCCGATTCTTATAGACGATGTAACCATCTTTGCATAAACAAGCCTCCTGGTTCCAGCAATATGCGTTGTCCGTGCAGTCGACGTCGTAATGGCACTTTGCCAGGGTCTCTGAAGAAAATTATGTTACATGTTCGTTAGACGTTTAAATATTTCGATAAGAAACGTTCGAACAAACAAAGCATTCTTTTGATCGCGGGCCAATGATAAAAAAAATGAATTTCTCGGTGCCGGTGGATCGAGATGACGTTTGTTCCGGGACGCGTATCCGAAAACTGGGTAACCTTGTTCGCTCGATCGATATGAAATGTGATTTTAATTGTGAAAGATCGAGGCGTGAGGCTAAACGATTGAGAAGACTGCGAATCGCTCGCATACGTACGAGGGGGTGGTGTTCGGTCGTTGCATCGCGGCGGTTCCTGGTTGACGTAGGAAATGGTCGCGCAGACGGTGACAGGCACGAGGACGAGAAGCCTCGAGAACCTGGCCACCGTCCTGGTCGGCGTCATCCTCGTGCCGCCGTTGGAACGTCTTCTTCTTGTCGTTCCATCAGCCCGGTGACAGTTGCCGTCATTCCCGATCTTAATCCCAACGACTATCGTTCGTTCGTTCGTTCGTTCGCTCGCTCGTTAGGCCAGCTCTTTGCGTTTCGTTACGGTGTTGCGAGTTCCCCGGTCGCGAACAAGCCCTGCTCTATTGTTGAGCATCGCGTCAGACTCGCGGTATTGTTCGCGATCGTCGTTTCATTCCGACGAACCGTCGCGTCGCACCGCCAACAGTTTCCCTCGACGCGTTTTTCCAACCAGTTTCACTTTCGCGAGCAATCTTGGGAACAACGACGCAACGTTCTCTCTACGCCTTATCTCGAGCTATCTTTCAGTGAAAAACAAGTTAGTTTAGCAACGACTCGTTGTCATTGTTACAGGAACCTTAGGCCACGGTTTTATCGATCGTTTCCGGTCAAATTAGGTTAAACGCGACCGAATAATATCGAGCTAATTTACCATTCGATCAACGATCGATGTCACGATGTCGAATCGCCGTTCTTTCGCGATCCACCGCCAAGTTCGCTATCGTTTCGTACTATTTATTTCGTTTGTCCGGAAATCTTGGACGAATCAAACTGTTTGCAGCTAGTATTTAACCGCAACTCCGTAACAGGTTGTATATTATGGAAGCGGGGCACGCGCTAAATCGGCGACCCAACGATGGATCCTTGGTCGCGTTTAACTTTAATTAGATGGGCTCGTTCCCATCGCGCGGTTAATTGAAATCGTAAGCGCAACCTTAACGAACCTTTTGTCTTTCCGTGCAATCTTCTCGGAGCAATGACGACGCGACTAAATACACGTATTTTCTAGTAATCGGCAACGACGTGTTTTCAGCGGCACTTCGACTGGACGCGTTTACCGATCGATGGACAACCTTAGCGTGCTCCGCTTCCATAGTTTCGGTTCGTTACGCAACAAAACTACCACGTACGACCACAGAAGCCATCGTCTGCGTTAAACTCGTTCCTCGACGTTGTTAAATTTCAATCCCGGTATTAATCTTTCCGATAACAAACTTCTATTCTCGGAGAAATAAGTTAAACGAGATAGATACTTGTCATTTTTTTTAACGAACCAATTGTAGAATCTCGTCGAGGATTATCGAGGGTTTCGATATGTTTTTCGCGGCAAAGTTATTGTTATCTAAAGAATCGAAGTTATATGTTCGATGTAGCGAACGAGAGTCACCGATCAAACGCTGGCGTCGACGCTGGCTGTGTCGTTTAACGATACGATAATGTATAAATTGTTATCGACATGTATCGAGCGTCACGTCGATCTCTCGAGAAAACCAGTTCCCATCTTATACCATTTAAATTATTCATCGTTCGTTCCGCCTTACATTACGTCACGATTATTCGCCGTGTACGATTGTCGTGAATTTTTTCACACGATGTTGCACGATCGACAAAAGTAATTTTCGATTCGTGATCACGGTCGTTGGTGCTACGTAACGTGGTACACGAGGAATCCAATTTTAACACCAAGACCGAGTTCTCGAATACAGAGACAGGAAAAAGAGTTCCACGTTGCGTGATCAAACTTTTCCCAGTATCAATTAGTCTCACCTTCGGAACGTTTTCAAGGTGCGAGGTGTTTAATTAAATTAGAGAGAACCGTTGGTCGCGACGCGACGCGTAACGGATGGATTTCGTGTTGCGTTTCGACGGTGCAAGTGCCGGCATTGTTTCCACATCGCGTGTGACTATTGTAAAAGGGTTCGCGCAACGCGAAGCTTTGTTCGAGCCCGCGTGTCGCAATCCCGTCCTCGAGAACGGAACGTTAGACCGAAATATCAGACGGCAGGAGGGAACGATCTCCCCTTGTTCTTTAATTATGTGCGGTCCCAACCCGACATTCACCTAACTGTGAGAACCAGCAGCGTAGATCCGGCCTCCTCGCGATTCCCCACGAACCTCCAACAGAGGATTACTCGGTCACGAAGGAACGAATCTGCTCGAGGCATTTCTTACGAATTCGCTCCGATCGCAACGTCCAAACATCCTTTCGACAAGTCGATTAATTCGATAAATACTTGGCGGGGATCGACGACGCGCCTAAACTATTTCCGGACGTAAATAATTTTCCTGGATCAATTTAAAACGATCGATTCTGTACGAGTTTAAAGAAACCAAGTGTCTTTCGAACACTCGCTAAATCCACAGCGGACGAACCAAGGAAAGTCGAAGCGTCTCGATGCGGAGCCGAGTCGAAAGTCGATCGATTCGCGTACGAATTAACTCGCGGGTTCGGTTCGAACCGTCGCGGAAGGTAAAGCTGGCTACGCCTGTGATCTAAACTAGCGTGGAACTGGCCGGGACGGCACGCCACGGTACGGTACGGCACGCCACGACACACCAACAACCGAAATCGCAGTTTACACTCACGTCTACGGATCAGATGCTCGTGCTGTCCGTGCGCGGCAACGACTGCACTCCGCGCGACCAAGCAGAAGCAGAGGCCGATCGACAGCGCAACACCTCCCAACCCCAACCGAGGACGATACGCCGAGCCCGCCATCTTCCTCCTTCAGGACACTCCTATTACTGTTTTTTTTCGATTCGCGACTAAAAATTTAACAAGATGCTTCTCCGGTCTACTCTTCCGAGGTTATGATCGATTTAATGTTTCCGAGCTGGCTTTATCTAATTGGTCGTGTTGATAACTTTGTCACGAATGCGTGCGTACGTGCGTGGTTGCGCGCGTGTACGTATGCATGTATGTAACTTGTTTAGACTCCGGTGAGTCGACCGGGTTTATCACATGGCACAGTTATTTTCGGCCAGTCGTATCACAGTCTACTCGAACAATTAGTCAACCAAGTTCGATGTTGTCACGAACCTGGCCGACCAAGGTGGTGTTGCGTAATTGCAATTTTAGCTGACTGTCGGATGATTCACGCGTGGCTGGACCTCCCTTACACACACCCATCACCCTGGACGTTAACAAAAATTCAAAACATTTCGGTGGAAGGGAAGTCGAAAATACGCATTTTTACATCGAATTAAAACGTGGAAATTTTTAAGCGTAGATAAACGTTAATTGATTTACAATTAACAACGAATATCTGCTGCATCGTGGTTTCGTGAAGTCTAACGATCTAATTTGCTAGGATACGAGGTTGTTTATTGAAAAAAGATAACCAAAAATAGAGTGATGATAATTTATGTAAACTTTTCTCCGAGACACTCTCGTACAAACGTTTTCAAACTACACATATACTACATAATACTGTTCTCTTAAAAAGAAAGACTACAAGTTTGTAAAAAAAGGTAATATTCGTTCGACTAGAGCGAAACGTTTCATATGTGTACGATTCGCGCGCGCTCGCGCATTTCTTGACAATAGTAACATAGTAAAAAAAATAAAAAATAAAATACTACTATCATTCGCAAAAATAAAAAATGAGATTTCAATAGGTCTCGATATCTATATTATTGGCACTTTTCGCAAATAGCTGCGTTTCTCGTCCTCTTTCGATAAACGTTCGCTTTCCGTGCTCGCGAGAGATAAAATAATTATAGAAATTTTAAGTTTGCTCCGATTTTAAAAGAGTCACCGCAACCACCGCAGCAAACGTATACAATATGTACTTGTAGCGTGTTAATTGCGTGTACGCCAAAGGAAGTCTTGGCACGCTTCGATGCACCCGACGCATTCTCTCGTCGCGCTCGACGCGTAATTTCGTATAGCTCGACAAGTTTAATAAGATCCCACAAGTATTGACTGGAGCACGAAGAAGCGAACGGTAAGGACGAGACCAAACGATTCGACTATCGCTTACATTTATCATAGCCTAATTAGTGGATGTAATCCGATACTGTTCGAAACAAGTAAGGCTATGGAAGGACGCGTAAATTGGAGGTAGCTGAAAATGAAAATACTCGACGAGAAAATGGAGTTCTCGCGGCTAGTATCGACGAATAAAAACATAAAGAAAATGGAACATTCCAAGACCTAATTCTGCCTGCAGAACACGATGTGGAGAAAGATTGCGAGGAAAAGCGCTATCGACGATCCGAAGAAACGCGTACCTGAAAAACGATGGATTATTGAAAATATCGAAATTGGGACAGAGAAATTACACCGGTTTCGCTTACCTCCGTTATCGACGCACCTATTGCCCTCTCTGTAAAAATTTTCAGCGCATTCGCACACGTTTTCCACGCACTCGACCGCTTTCGTTGTCACGTTTTTCTCTTCGGTTTGATAACATTCGTACTTGTTGGCGCAGTTTTTGTCCAAACCTGGAAACCGAATGAGAAAACGAAACAACGAATAAAAAAGGATCGACGAATAAACGAAAGCTTACCCACGTCGACGAAACACCGAAGCATCTCGGGCTCGAAGTGATATCCGTCTTGACAAGAACATTGTTGCTCGACGCAGACGGAGTTCCGAAAGGTCGTGGAACATTGCACGTCCTCCGTGCATTTGTCTGATATTTCCCGAACGACTGGTAAACATCTGTTCTTGGCCGCATCGATCACGGTTTCCGCGGGACAATCGCAGATCTTTTTATCGGTACACGTTGCACCCTCGACGAGGGAGCACTCCTCGAATCGTGTGCACGGCTTTTTAAAATCTGAAACAGAAATTTCGGATTCGATGTCGACGCGTTTACCAAAAATGCTCTCTAAACGAATCTTTTTCTTTCACCGATCGTTTTGTAGCAGACGTCTTGCACGAGATGATAGTCAGTTACGCAATTGCAATGCCCGTTCTGACACGTGGTGTTCGCCAGATATTCGATGCATTGCCTATCCTCGATGCATGGAAAGTCGATTCCTTCGGCCTCTAAAAACGAAAGGTTATTGGTATACGCCAAGTGTAAATTTTAATCGTGACCATATTATGCTTGTTTCTCTTACTTTCGAGGCAGGATTTCCTGTTGCTCGAAAATACATAATTCTTTAAACACTCGCACTGTAACACCGTCGTGTTGCAGAAAGAATTACTGATCGTGCAATCCTGATTGATCTTGCAACTATGGGAAACGAGCGACCCTGGAGAGAACATAATTGGCTGAACAACGGTTTTTCCGTTGATCGAAAAACATAAATACATACGTATGGTACGTGCTAACCTTTCTCTGCGTTCCTGTTACCCTGCCGTATAATGTCCGTACCGGAACAGTTTCTATTTTCCGTCCCGTTCTTGCACACGCAGAATCCATCCTTGCAGAATACATCCTTGAACGTATTCGAAAAGACCGGGCAATTCTGATCAATTTTACAAGGGATAGGTGGATCTGCGACAAGATAAAGACGAAATTCTAGTTTCGAATCCTAGCGTTGTTTCTATACAAAGGATCGATACTTCATAGTATTAAAATAAAAAGGATGCTTAGGAAACGTAACCAGCATGAAATTGCGAAACTTTTCCAAAGTGCAAGAAGCAAGGGGTTACTTGAATGTGGTCGAGAAAGAACGCGGCGAGTTCGAGCCGCGAAGGAAACCCTTGGTTTTGCTGGCAATCTTGTAAACTGCATACTTTCGAGCATCGAACTTGCTTTCTTAATTGGGGACAGCCGAGAACAATGCGTAATATTTAAAAAGTAGGAAATTCAAAGTAACGTTTCATCGATATCGTTTCAATATTGTTTACCGATTCCTGGACATTTTAGTTTTTTTCATTGCCTCGACAAGGTCGTTTTTATTTTGAAACGAGGATCGTTGACGATTATACATAAGTTACCGTGACATTCCTACGTGTGTTTCTTGGAAAGCGACGGAATCGTGTCGACGCGAGACGCGGCAACTACTTGGAATAAATTGACGTTAAATCGATCGTCGAACAGCTTTCAGCTATTCCAACGACTCTATCTTTGCTGCGCTAGATTTCCGAAATACATCTACATATTCGATACGACTCGGTGATCGTAGGTATAACGAGAATAATCATGGTTATTTCTGCGATACCGTTTCAGGCGTGAAAATTATTTTTACTCGAATAGTTGGAACGTTTACGATAAAATATGAACAAACATTTACGAGTTTGATTACGAGTATCCTGTCCACGTTTAATTACTTTTGCTCGAGGCTCGAGTTTCAATGGAAATCAATATTACACGAAATATTCAAACAGGAGACACACACGCTTTGTTGAGAATAATGTTGATTCACGGTATTTAAATACAAGTTACTTTTACGAAGAGAGCAACGGCTTCGGAACGTCTAATATCCGGAAAATCTGATAGATCTCACCAATTTTTTCCGCCATCGTGCGATAATGAAATGTCGCAAGAACGACGACAAGAACGGGTACGAGAAACATCGGGCATCTCTTCATCTCGAGGATAACTGAGCTCGTTGGACGTTCGCGAATGACGGTGATGCACGAGTCCTTGGAAACTGGCGAGTATCGGTTCGTGATCCAGCATTCACGATAGCACGCGACTGACGAACGCCAAGTCCAGTCGAACCGCGCTATCCATATTCTCCCACCATCGTAATTTTCTTCCCGGTTGATGACCACGACACCACCGATGAACGTTCGATCGCGTCTTACCGGAAGTATGATGATTTACTCGTAACAAGGAAATTCCAACGAATTGTCTACGAATAAATGGGGCTGTGATTTAGAAAATTTTCGAAAAATCTCGATCGTTGGCATTGTCGCACCTGAAACTTTGAATCAGGCCACCCTAACGCTTGTCGTTGAACAAATCGTCTGATTCACTCGGTTTGATACGCGAGAGATAAATGAAAAGATAACGATTATCACAGGAGGGCGTACGTTGCGTCGCGTAGTTTCCTGCCAAATCTTGGTCGTTTCTTATCCAGTAAAGGTTCGAGTAATGTGCTGTAATCATAGTCGATCTTGTCGAGTTCGTTGCGTTTAAAATGAATCAAATTTTGAAGATCGGTGTGCTTTTCGCGACTCTCGGATCGCTATCGTGCACGAACGGTGAGTATCGAAAATAATCTTTCAACGTACCAACCATCGAAACCGATTACGAAATTACAATTTCTGTTTACAGATATTACTCAGCAATATGGAACAGCCAAGTACGGCGAGGGATGCATAAGAGATCGTAATTGCATTCCGCATGCATTCTGCAAGGCACAAATGACCTGTATCTGCGAACAGTATTACTCGCCCACCCCGGACAAGACTATGTGCATCGCTAGTGAGTATCGGTTTTCATACCCTAGCGTGTCAAAAATTGCTTTCTTAATTTTCTCTCGACAGGCGAGGGATTATTTTGCACGGAAGATTCGACTTGTCGATCGATGACGAACGCCGAATGCAAACAAGGGAAATGCGCTTGCAAAGATTCCTACGTTTTGGACACGACCAATTCCTCGAATTGTATTAACAGTAAGTAGTAATCGTGGCTGATAAAATCCGAATAAAAATACATGCGTATAGGTTGCAACGATATTTTATCGTGTTACAGGGCCGTCGATGGTGGGCGATCGTTGTCAGAGGATCGACGATTGTCAAGACGTACTTGGTCGTGCTATGTGCATCAATGAAATTTGTCAGTGCGTCTCGGGGTACCACTTTGTCAATCACACTGGAAAATGCATCCAGACAAGATGTAATTACTTGTACTTTACTTCTCTTGTAACGATTGTTAGAATTATCCTGCCAGAACGAACGTAGAAACGTTTTGGACGTGAGTGGCTCGCAACAAAGAAACTAAATTATTAAACACGCCCTTTACAGTTTTGTACAACACGTGCACGAAGGATTACGAATGCATGGGACTCGGTAAGGAAGATATCCTTATATGCAAAGGTAGCCAATGCGTTTGTAAGGATGGAGGAGCGAATTGTAGCAAAGGTGAATTACAATTACTTTTCTCATTGCAATCTAATTCGGTGAACCCGTTGATTTAACGATGATCATCTTTTTTTCAGCTTCCATGTACGCAATTCTTGGAATTCCACTGATACTTTTATCGTTACTACATCGACTTTTTTAGAACAGTATCTCTAAACAAATTTACTAATAATTAATTAATTAATTAATAATAATAAATTATTTATACTACTTGTGGCACATGCTCTATCGGATAAATAGATTTTTCAGCGTTGGCAATTCAAAAATAATATAGGTATGTTCTGATATTTGGAAAATACTCGAGGTGAACTTTCTAATCCAATCTAATGTCATGATGCCCAAAACCGAATTCAATAAATGTTACTCGAAGGAATTTCTAACACTTGATTGCGATTTTGTAAATCTTGTACAAGGAAATTTCAACGAGTATAACCGTATTAAATTATCAGGATTTATTTATTAAAGTTTCGTCATTTACGGCAGGCTGCCGAAGTTTCTCGAGAAATAGTTCTTTGGCTGAAACGCTAGATGACGCGCCAAACACTTGCGATCGAAAAACCATTTTCAATTGTTGTTATTCGTATAAAAATATACATTACTTGTACGAGGCCACCTATACGAGCAGACTTTATATCCAATCTATTTTTTTTAGACCAGTTTAGACCCATAGTTTTTGAACAAACGGCCATCCATGAGAAGAGAACGCTAAAATCATCTCCGAATGCTCAGGTTGGTATGGTAGTTAGACTGGGCCACCCCGTATACCTCGTCTGTGCTCTTACCACAGACGAGATATATGAATAGACCTTTCACCTTATGGACTTTCGCGGCCTAATCTGACTGCCATACCGACCTGAAAATTCGGAGGTGATTTTAGCGGCCTCTTCTCTTGGATGGCGGTCAGTTGAGAAACTCACTGAATTAGTGTGATAGGCAGCAGCTAGTTGCATGTAAATGCATACGAGTTGAAAAGTACGAATTATTCGGCATTCCTTGACTAGTTAAAGTTGTAAATAATTTGCTAAAATCAGTCTAACCGCGATTTTTACCTGAGGCATCCCTCGGGTTCGTAATATCACAGACGAGGTATACGAGTAGACCTTTCACCTAATGTATTTTTTCGGCCCGTTTCTCTGGGGTCCCGGGACCCCATTACCATTTTCGTGTCACTCGCAACGTTATCAACAGATTTAGAAATGAATTTTAATCCCTTTCATAGCCAACTCACATGGATTTACGCAAAACTACAGCTGTTTGCCTATCAATACTAATTCAGTGAATAATTTCTCAACTGACCGCCATCCATGAGAAGAGGACGCTGAAATCACCTCCGAATTTTTCGCTCGGTATGACAATTGTTCGAACTGACGTACAAAAAGACAAAAATTAACGAGATACACTCTTCCAAAATGGAACAAAATGTTAAAAAGATCATGCATCAAATTGTAAGGGAATCCTCGTAAGAAGGCTTTAATCTTCGTAATGGTTTTAATGGGTCGATGATCAACAATGACTAGTTTATGGTCACTGGTGGTCAACAGTGAGGTGGACATCAAGGTCAGCGGTCCAGTGAAGAGCCAGAAATGGTCAAGAGGTGGGACCCAATCGAAATAGTTTCTATGTAGACGAGACAGTCTTACCTGTTATCTTCAACTTTGGCTCTGACTGGTCTCCCCACCCTTTCATCACCTTAGTCATATAAGCAGGGTCACTGCGAAGATTTCTTCAGTCGCGTCGCGAATTCGGGAGTAGGCAAATAGCCAAAAGCGAACCGGGGACCGTTGCTGACCACTACTGGCCAGCGCTGACCACAGCTGACCATGGCTGACCAATACTGACCAATGCTGACCAATGCTGACCAATACTGACCACTACTGACCAGTGCTGATTCGCGTTCCTGCCACTACTGACCACTACTGACCAGTGCCGGACGGTGATGACCAACGGTAAGAACTGTTTAAAAATTCTCTCCCCTCTTCTATTCTATCATTTGATGCCAATTTTGCTTCAATGAACTGATTTTGCCTTGTTTATCTAACCGATGTTGCTATAATATGAATATTTTCTTACTTTACAGCTGGCCCTTATGGTAACTACCCTATGTACTGACAACAAGTAGTAAGTCCACTCCACTTATTTATATTTTATTATTTTTATTTGTTTGTTTGATGTGAATTCAACTGTATTTATCTATCTGATTTTATTTGGTTATTACGAATGTTCCTTTTCTATGTTTCTACTTTTACATTGTTTGTCGAATTTATGTGAATGCTTTGATATGTATAGTATTGCAGGATATAATAATGTAGTATTGTTTTCAATCATATACTATATTCGTTTCTACACGATTCCATGAATTTTTATTTTTACCTTCTTGCTCGAATTCTCGTAATATTCTGCGGAGGTACTTCCTTTGATTCTTCCATTTCGTTTGATCGTTTGGTGTTGATTCAATTTGGTGTCTCGATCCAAGTTCCTATCGTTGTTACGAATGGTCGTTTTGAGTTGTATCACATTGTGTCGATGTATATACTGTATTCGTTTCGACGATACCGATCATTAGAAGAATGTTCGGTTTGATACGTAAAACATGGTGTCGATGGATATGCCATATTTGTTTCGATGGCACTGATTAATATAAGATTTCTATTTTTACGTTTAGCCCCTTTAGCTAGGTGATAGATTATTTTTAAGTGTTTATTAAATTTCCTACCATGTCTCACTAATATAAATATTAGTTTTGATTTCAGTTTAAATTTGGATTGATCGCAAGGACACCGAGGGAGAACGCCGCGCCCGCCGAGGGACTTTTAATTCCGAGTTGATTAGTCTTAAGCTTCGTCGCGAGTATTAAAATTAAAGTCGAAGCCTTCTTTATTATACGTGTCTCCGTGTCCTACCAAGCAATTATTCAATAAGTAGATTGTGTCTCTCGCTCGTTCCCTCGTTCCTAGCTTCGGTCACCGCTGTTTCATCGATCGAGACATGTGATCGGCCGTGTAGCTGGCCCGACAGATCTAACCGCCTTCCCTTGGTAGCTCGATCCAGGGAAAATGGTACTCTGCTGGAAGGTGTGGAGTATCCGTATCCTGCGGAAACGCATACCTTCCAGCGGAAGTCGACACTGAAACAGAGGTACTCTCTCTTTGTCAGACAACTTGAGTCGGGTCCTTCGGGCTCCCGGCGGGTTGCGTTGGAGCAATGGAGACCTTAGATTCGGAGTCGCAGCCGTCCGTTATCCTGTAGAGATCTAGTTAGCAAGGGCAGTAGGTTCGATCCTCGGATCCGCTGCACGGTTCAGCTTCGCGTCGCGTCGTGTCGCGTCGCGTGTCCCTCAAATTAACTTCGTCCCTCTTTTTAACCAAATAATTGCTTGGTACATCCAAGGAACTTTGTTTCCTTCTATCGTCCGAATTTTAGTTTCAACTTGACCAGACTTGAGCTTCGACGTTAATTTTAAGTCCCTATCGTACGCGTCTCCCAATATTTCCAAGTAATTATTTAACAAGTAGCTTCTCTCGACTCGTTCTCTGGTTCCTAGCTTCGATCACCGCTGTTTCATCGATCGAAACATGTGATCGGCCGTCCAGTTTGTCCGAAAGATCTAGTCGCCTACCCATGATAGATCGATTGCTAGAAATAGGAATCAATCTACCAAGGGCAGTGTTGATTCGATCCGAAGATCTGCTGCACGGTTCAGCATCGCGTCGCGTCGCGTATCCCATAATTTAGCTTCATCCCTTTTTAAACGAAATAATTACTTGGTAGCTAAGCTTAGCTAAAAGGGAGATCGATGGAACTTTGATTCCATCTATCTCCCTTCGGGTCTCCACTCGCAGCAACCTCCACGTGGTGAGACCTGGGTCATATTATTTAGTATGTAATTAATACAATTATTAATTACATAGGAAATAATATGAGCTAATGGCTGCGTTCTTCTTATAGTTCCACATACCTTGTTCGTCCTGGTGTGCGGTCTAATAACACTGATTTCGAGTCGCAAATACGTTTTTGCCGAGTTAGTTTTTAAATAAATAATATATTACAATTTACAATAAAAAATAGAGGATTTGCGGTGTATTTATCAATGAGATTCTTACGTATTTTAATAATTTTGAAATCTTTAAATAATCTCGATCGATTGGTTATTCCAATGAAATTAATCGATCGATGCTCAATTCTGGACCATACAGCTTTCATTCCGTTAAAAAATAATAAAATTTATGTAATTTTATTTTCCGTCTCACTTCCTCTTGTGTTAATTTCTAAATCTGTTGATAACGTTGCGAGTGATACGAAAATGGTAATGGGGTCCCGGGACCCCAGAAACTCCGGCCGAAAAATTACATTAGGTGAAAGGTCTATTCATATACCTCGTCTGTGCTCTTACCACAGTGTAGTATACCTCGTCTGTGGTAAAAACCACAGAATTTCAGTAATTTCATTTCCTACCATAATAAGCGCCATGATGGTTTTCTATAGCCTGTTGGTAATAAGCGAATTTCACCGACACAGACGAGGTGGCACCGAAATGATATGAGTCGAAAAATACATCGAATGTAACGTCTATTTGTACATCTCATCTGTACCGAAACCATTGATTTTTACGAGATCGACAGTTCAGTTCGTGCCACATGAAAATCGAGGTTCATGAATTTGTATACGTTGGCAATTTCGATGGTTCCTTTCGCAAGGTCGATACTCGAGTTCCACGAGAAACTCTGGTTGAATGTCCAGTCGGTGATGAGATGTAGCAATAGAAGAAAGTTGTTACGTAATATCGTTGAAAATGTGTGGAGTAGCATAGCGATAATGATAGAAATAAAAGTGACTAATCGAATTATCTCATAATATTTAAAATATTTGTAGGATATGAAATAGCCCTCTGGTGGCGCAGCTGGTCGAAGAGATGTCGCCACAAGGTCGGTTAGGCGCGATCGTGCACGAACGCGAGCAAGCGAGTTTCGTAGTCGGTGCGCGGTCGGTCGGCTGGTTTGTTTCGTGCGTTGGGTCTGGGTTAGACTTGTCGGTGGTTGTGTCGAAAATCAAGGAGAATACGTGTCAGGACGTTTATCAACGGATGTACAGAGGTAAGCAGTCCAAGTGATTGATCAGAAAGCATGTTTCCGGTCTGGAACGATCTCGCGCGTCGATGTACATACAA